CAGCACCTCTTTATTTAATGGAAACCAAAGATTTAACATTGGAGTGTAAAAAAGCTCTGACGAGAATTTTTAAAATATGTGATTTAGATAATGATGGACTTTTAAATGACAGTGAGTTAAATTTTTTTCAAAAAAGATGCTTTAATGTGCCACTTCAGCCACAAATACTTGAGGATGTAAAATCGGTTATAAGGAAACACTTAAATGATGGTTTAGAAAAAAATTCGATTACACTAAATGGTTTCTTATTGCTTCATTGCTTATTTATTCAAAAAGGTCGTAATGAAACCATATGGACTGTTCTTAGAAAATTTGGTTATGATGACAAGTTAAATATGTCACCAGATTATTTGTATCCTCATATAAATATAGCTTCAGGTTGCACAACTGAATTATCCTATAAAGGCCAACAATTTTTTACCGCACTTTTCGAAAGACATGATAAAGATAAAGATGGCGCACTAAGTCCTACAGAAGTAGCTAACTTATTTGCAACTTGTCCAGCACCAGCTTGGGGAAAGGAAATACACAGAACTGTGCCTTCTACAAAAAAAAATGTAAGAAAAAGCTTTTGAAAAAAAAATAATTTTTTTTTGAAATTTTATCAATTAATAATAAATTAATGTATATTAACGACGTTTTTTCATTTTTTTCATTTTAGAAATGGATAACTTTAAATGGATTTTTATGTCATTGGATGTTAATTACACTTTTCGATATAACAAAGACTTTAGAATATTTAGCTTATTTCGGATATAATGTCGAAGAGGGTGGAAATCAATTATCTGCTATCCATGTGACTAGAGAAAAAAAATTAGACATTGCAAAAAGACAAACAAGTCGTAATGTATATCAGTGTCTTGTAGTCGGATCACCAGGATCTGGTAAATCAGTGTTTTGTTTGAGCCTCTTGGGTTATAATATTGAAGATATTTCAAATATCCTCGATGAGGTGGAGCCTGAATCTCAATGCACAATCAATGTAGTTCCAGTATATGGCCAGGAAAAATATTTGGTATTGAAAGATATAAATGTGAAAAATTTGGCAATTATCATGAGTGCTAGAGATGTTCAATGTGATGTCGCCTGTCTGATTTACAATGTAGACGATCCCAAAAGTTTTGAATTTGTTGCTAATGTTTATTTGGTGAGTTTATTATTTCATTATTATTATTCTTCACCATCATTTTTTCTTAATAAAGATAAGTTTTAATGAAATATATATATATACATTGATTAATTATATTACATACATATTTGTTTTTTGTACTTTTATTTTTAGAAATATTTTTCAGAAACAAAAATTCCTGTACTTATAGTCGCCTCTAAGTCTGATTTACCTAAAGTAAAGCAAGATTATATAATGCAGCCTGAAGTTTTTTGTTCTAGACACAAATTACCACCACCTCAACCCTTTTCTGCTAATTACAGAGTTTATAAAGAAGTTTACACAAAACTTACAACAATGGCGGCTTTCCCGTAAGTATTTAAAAAAAAATATTTACTTAATATTAAAACTTGAAGTTTTAATAAACCGAGTTCACAATAAAAGAAAAAATTATTTTTCTGTTTTCGAAGAAAAAGAAGAAGAATTCAAAAAATTTTTATACTTATGTATTTAGTTTAGATATTATTTAAGTTTATTAAAGGGTTTATATGTATTTTTAAATAAAATTTAAACTTATCGGTTTCATTTTTTTTTTTTTTTTTTTTTAATATTTTCTTATGTTGTTTATTTACATAAGAATTTAATTAATTGTAATAAATTTTTTGTTTAGTTCTTTTCAAGCTGCTTGGGTTGTGTTCTGCAGAAAACAAACCAGGTATAAATATATTAATTACTCATTACTTTTGGTTCAAGATTTTTTCAGATTTTAAATTACTTGCATGTTACTCCTGCTTCTTAACCCTGTGATTGTGATTGATTGAAAATTGAAAATTGAAATTTGTTCCATGTTTTCTTTTTTTTTTTTTTTTTTTTTTTTTCTTCCCATTGGGTCGACCTAATTTTTTTTCAATAGTTTTTGATCAAATATATTAAAATTTTAATTTCCAGGCAATTGCAACAACTTGGATTTTTGCCTTTGGATTCTCAAGTTTTATGGAAAGCTGGAATCACATTAGCAGCAGCAACAGCTGTTGGTTATTTTATTATTAAAATTATTAGATCAGACATGTCTGGAAGATAATTTTTTAAAAAAAAAAAAAAAAAACGTAAACGTATAATAGTATTTCAGTAATTTTAAGTGACACATTTAATTATTTTGCTTTTAAATTAATATTTTGTTAAGTTAAATAAAAAATAATATGTATATAGAAAATAATAAATATATTTAGTTATTATTATTATATTTTTAATAGATCCTATTAATTGCTCAGTAAATGTATTAGGTATTTATAAATTAAAAATATTTTAAACAATTTTATATAGTTGCTTGAGTTTTAAATGAAACGAGTTTAATGCAAAGTTTAATGTAATTTTTGTAAAAAAAAAAAAAAAAAAAAATGTATTATATTTTTATAATCTAATATTGTTATAATTTTTTTCCTTTTAATTACCTTTCAAATTTCATTAGTAATTTTTTTTTTTTTTTTTGAATTTATTAAGTATTATTAAGAACAGGGTAAGTTTAAAGAATATTCTTTTTAGGTTATTAATTATTTAAAAAATCTTTTAATCATTCAAATAAATAATAATTATTAATGTTTTTTTTAAATATTGAGTTTAATGGATTAAAAAAGTAGTAAAAAAATTTTTAATTTGCATTTTCTTATATTTATTTACATTTTTGAAAAATAATTTTTTTGGTGTGTTTAGGTTTTAATATTTTTTTTCTAAAAGAAAAAAAATTTATTTTTAGTATTGTTGAAGCTAAATTTTATTATAAATTCAATATATTTTGAAAATAAAATAAAATTTTTTGAAATGGGTAAAATATTGTAGACAATTTTTGGCGGGCTTATTTACAAGCCAAGTAAATCGGTGACCGATTATGTGTCTTCCTTTGACAAAGGAAATCTCTTCAATGTCGGTCAACCTGTAGTGTGTAATTGTTCAAGCTGTGTATTTTATCTAAGGTATTACGATGCTTATAATAAAACATCCGATTCAATTGACAATTAAAAACGAATATTAAATAATTAAAGTTTTCATCAATTAATTATTATTCGTAGTTTTTTGATTATTTTTCACGACAGACTTGATTGAACATTTTTCTAACCTCTATATTGATTGACGTTTGTTGCCGTATTTAAATTTAACAAATGTACTTATAATTGTGATACAAAACAATTTTTTAATTTAATAAATTACATAAATATTATTTACATTCTTAAAATTTTCTCATGTAAATTAATTAATATATTTTCGTTCATTTTATTTTTTTTTTAAGTGTTTCAATAATAGTACTCTTATTGTAAGAGGCAATATTTTTCATGCTGTTGTTTTTTCATTTTTTAGCAAAATGGTTCGTATGAATGTATTAAGTGATGCCTTAAAATCAATCAACAATGCAGAAAAAAGGGGGAAAAGGCAAGTTATGATTAGGCCGTGTTCTAAAGTCATAGTTAAATTCCTCACAGTTATGATGAAGCACGGTGAGTAGTTTATAAACAGATAGAATTATTCCAATACGTTTTCATTTATTCACAAATTAATATGTCTTGAATTATTGCAATTAATTAAATGCCTTGTATTATTACATTAGTTTTCGAATGTACATATTATATAGTTCTGATTAATGGTATGGGATTTTTTTTAAATGTTATCTGCAAGATATGTGTATTATCTGTTTATCTTTTTTTTTTTTGTAATTTTAAAAGAACAACAGATTTATTTTGAAATTGAATACTCCAATTCAATGTACTTTTAAAATTTCTCTAAACATAATTTAAATATGTTTTATTTATTTTAGGTTACATTGGGGAATTTGAGATAGTAGATGACCATAGAGCTGGTAAAATTGTTGTTAATCTAACTGGGCGATTAAATAAATGTGGAGTAATTTCTCCAAGATTTGACGTCCCAATTACGCAAATTGAAAAATGGACAAACAATTTATTACCTTCTCGACAATTTGGCTATGTTGTACTGACAACAAGCGGTGGCATAATGGATCACGAAGAAGCTAGAAGAAAACATCTTGGAGGCAAAATCTTAGGATTTTTCTTTTAATTTTATTATTTTTAAGGTTTTTAAAAATGAAAAATAAAACAAAAAAATTATAAATTGAGTATATTGATTTTTATCCTCTAATACTTGTTTTACATATCAATAATTATTAATATGTTACGAAACATATTTATCAATTTATATTTAGCGCTTTAAGCTAAACGTTTTGTATTCAAATAAATTGCCCAAAAAGAGATGTTTTTTTCTTAATAAATTGGAGTAATTTAAACGTTTAAGTAGGAAAGTTGGTTTTGTACGTTATGCAAATGCAACTTTTTTTTATATACTCTATGACATAGCAGGAAAAAATTTAGCCACTTTTAAAAGGTAAAACATGGCCGCTAACTTTCCTTTGTATGTATCAAATCAAATGCGCATGCGCGAGGTGTCGCGTTCCAGAAAGAACTTTTAAATAGTTTTCAGTGTACGTTTGCCTTACGAAGTCAGTGTTGGTGAGGTTTATGTAACGTTTTTTAGTTTTAACATATAACGGTTTTTGTTTTTAGTTTTTTTATTGTTGATTTTAAAAAAAACGTATTAATCGAATATTTAAAATATTTAAAGAAATAACTTCATTCACTTAATTTTTAATTATATTGTAATAATTACGGAAAAAACCTTTTAGCGTACCTTACCGTCACAGGTGTACGTTTCCGTTGACGAAACAAACATGGCGGTCAATCATTATTTCAATCAGATAGTGCGTTTTATTTTTTACAAAAAATGTGTATGAAAATTATAATAATTAATAATAACGTATTATTTTTATCGAAAAAAAAAATCACAAATAATTTTTATAAAAAAATAATGAATTTGTCGTTTGATTTATTTATATCGAATGGTGAATTAAATTGAAAAAAAAAAAAAATGGAAGAAGAAGAGAGAATTCTATTGAGAAAAATGCGTAAAAGTGTGCCTTTTCATATTTTACATTGTGTCATAATCATACATATTTATTGTTTATCAACTGTCAATGGAGGTAAGTCGTCTTTTTTTAAATTAAATCAAATCACTTACTAAGCAAATTTAACTGAATTCAGTCAATTTTACACATTGTGAAATGAAAAGGATAATAATGACTTAATATTACAACTAACATTTTTTTTTTTTCACTTATTAATTTTTTACTACTACATTTTGACTTAAACAACATCTTTTAATGCAAACTTTTGTTCTTTTCTTTTCTTTTTTGCTACATTTTTTTGTAGTTGTCAATTATTACTTTAAGTGTGAAATTTAATTAATGATTATGCAATTTCATAAGAAAAAAAACAAGCTTTTTTTTTTTTTTTTTTTAAATTTAATATTTAATAATTTAAACGAATCGATAATAATAGAGCAAAATAACCTTTTTCTTTCTTTAAAAAAAAAAAAAAAAAATGTAATGTATAAAAATGAAACGCCTCTTTTACACCTGGTCAATTCTGTAGTATGATTGTTTACTGCTTCGTATGATTAGAAGAATCGTTAGATGATCGTTGTCAAGTTAAGTTAAACATAATTAATTTAAGTCTTCTTAAAAACGATCGTCTTTTTTTTTTATTGCTGCATTCCTTGCAAGGTACGAACGACTTTGTGTAAGAGTAACCCGACTGAACAAAAAAAAAAAACCTTAATAATAATGAATCGATTTAAAGTTACTTTTTTTTTTTTAAATTATTATTATTATTATTATTATTATTATTCGCCGTCAAATTACCGAGAGAGACATGTTTAATAATGTGTTTTGTATAATTATTTATCGTATAGCATGTAATGTAAGAATGATTTTTTTGTTTAATGAAAAGGAAAACTCGGTTGGAAAATTTTTTGAAAATTTCGAATGTACCTTTTATAACGTCTTCCATTAAGTAATCTAAGATGAGGATGGATGTATTTCCTAATGTTAAGGTTGAGCTTAAGGCATTTGCTAAAAATGGCACCAACGTTTTAACCAAGTTTTACACATTTAGCCTAAATTGTGTTATGTAGGGTAAAACAACATATATAGTTTTAGTTTAGTCAAATTTAATTTTGCTTTAATTGTAGTGTTTCATAATTACATCCGGTTAACCCACGCTGGGAAAAAAAACTAAAAAGCTCACATAATTTAAAAAGTATTTAAAAAAAAAAAAAAAAAAAAGAGAGAGAAAAAAATCTTTAATAATTTTCTACGGTTAATAAAAACGCATTTGTAGAAAAAGGAAACGAACGAGTTGACTGAACTTTTTTTTTTTTTCTTTTGTTTTGAAAATTCAAATAATTTTTATTTGGTTTTTTTTTTTTTTTTTTTTTTTTAAATTTTATTATTATTATTCTTTGCTCTTAATTTTTTTTTTGTAGCCATTATCGCGTTTTAAAAACATTCATTACTTTTATATATATATATATTGTTATAATGAAAAAGGAATAAGGAGTTATTATTATTATTTTTTTATGTTTTAATTTTGTTGAAAAGAAATGCTCACGAATGTAACATAAAATTTTTAAAATGCTATATAGATGAATGATGACGAAGCGTATATTTATTATTATTATTATTATTATTTTTCTTTTTCTTTCTTTTTTTTAAGTGAGAAAAATTTTTTTTTATTTTGAATTGTGAGCAACTGTAATGTTGCGTTATAATGCGTGAAATTTTTCGAAAAGGAAATTAACTTGCTTCTTTAGGTTTACTTACGAAAAAAAATTACCCTCCTTTAACAATTTACACTTAAAAGCAAAAAATAATGATAATAACAACAACACTTTTTGTGTTATACTAATTTATGCACTCTTTTTGTCGTTTCCCCCCATTTCTAACACGTTAAAAATTTTCTTTAGTTTTTGAATCGAATGAAATATTTTCAAATCGTTTATAAATCTTCTCACAGTAGGATATTGATTTTTTTAATAATGAAATATTATTCGTTGGTTGAAGGAATTACTAAAAGTGGTCAAAATGATGAATCCTGACAAAGTTGCATATGACTTTATAGAAAGGAATGTTTGAATTTTCTTCTCAGGGTTGCTTCAATGTGTCTGCATTCTTATTCTTTTTTTTAAAGTACATTAAAGAGAATGAGAAGACCAAAAATTTTTTTTTTTTGGGTTGGAGATGAGATGAAGTTGAAAGAAATTAAAAAGATTTAAATATATACCGTAAGAATTAGTAATTTTGACCATGAGCAATTGAAAATTAGTCAGAGTGTTGCGATGATGACCGACCTCTCAACACAAACTCGATTCTGCGAAAAAATTTTATAAATGTTTTTTTTTTTTTTTTTAAATCCTCTAAATGATGAGTACCACTTGGAATCAAGTTTTTTAAATTTCTTTTCTTGGTTAAAATTAAAATAAAATAATAATAGCCATGTGCAAATAACTACTCGCGTTTGAAATTTCTCAAGGAAAAAAAAAATTTAAAAATTACGAGTGCATTCATTAGGTTTTTAAAAAAAAAATTGGCAGTTTCTTCTTCTTTTTTTTTTTTTTTTTACCAATTATACAATCGCCATTTTAAAAAAAAAAAGATTGAATGTGAGTTAATATTTGTAAACGAGTTTTCTTCTTCTTTACATAGAAAAGTTAACAAGTTTGTTTTTTTCTTTGTCCTTTGCTCGAACTGTTTAAAACATTTAAACATTTCGGTTAGAATTTCGCTGATTTGTAGTTAAAACAAGTGAAAATTCTATTGACACGTTAAAAATAAAAAAAAAAAAAAAAATTGAACGCCGCGTGCGTTGGGTTAAAAAAAATGATGTGTTTTTAAAACTGGAGGAAACTACGGAGGAAACGCGAGTGTAAAAACTGGTTTTAGAAATTTTTTCCCTTCTTTTCTTATTCGTGAAGGACGTTTCTCCAGTAATCTCAGTTTGATCACGGCAAAATAAAAAAAACACTCCACGTACCTCGTTTTTTTTTTTTTTTATGATATAATTATTATCGTTCGTTCGTTCGTTCGTTTGTTAATAAATGAATTTTTTCTGTAAATCCCTTACATCCTCGTATCGAATTAATTCATTCTAAAACTTCTCAAGTTGTAAATAGAAGAAAAGGAAAAGAAAAAAATATTATTATTATTATTTTTTGTCACTCCGTGATTAGTTGAAAACAAACAACAACAACAAATTGCTTATTGAAGCCTTTCCGTGTAATTTTAGTTAAGAAAAAAAAAAAAAAAATTCCCAACGCTTTCACTTTTACATTAGTTGTGACAAGCAAATTTTTTTTTTTTTTCTTTCCATTTCATGTTAAACTTTTGTGTGTTTGTGTGTGTGTGTAAATAATAATAATAATATTTTGCAAAATTTCTATCAACAACAATCCATTCGTTACAAATGAAAAAAAAGCTTTTTTTGTAAAAAAATTAGGAATAAAATTCAAAGGAGAATATATATTTTCTTAAATTTACATTTTTTTTTGTTTTTTGTTTTTTTGTCGTTTCCACGTTACTTTTAGGAGGGGGGGGGTTACTTGTTTGCTTGGATTAATTGTTTGTTTGTTGGAAAAATCAATGATTCTCGTTGTTGTTGTTGTTGTTGTTGCTCGACGTTTTTCACGACACTTTTTTTTTTTTTTTTTTTTTTAAATAGTTGACACGATGGTGAAAAATTTGTTTGTTTGTTTGTTTGTTTGTTTGTTCATAATAAAGGTTATAGTCGATGTAATTGTTTCAAATCGAAATTTATTTATTAATAAGAATGAATGAATGAATGAATTATTTCATAATTAATTTTTTTTATAAATTTCTTTATTCCTTTTTTTTGACATTTTGCTAGTACGACGTGTAGGTGTGCTCTTCGATTGTTTAAAAAATTATTTGAACTTTTTTTCTATTTTTTTTTTTTTACTTACTTACTTTATTTCAAATTTTTGCGTTTTTCATTTTCGTTACTCCTAACCCACATATGCATATAAATCTTTTCATAATTACACGAAGTGCATTTTTAGTGTGAATTTTTAAGGTACGTTTTCATTTTAAATGTAATTCATAAAGCTAAACAAGGATAGGAGGATCCCCAAGCATTTTTTGATTTCAAAAA